TATATTAACTCGTATTTTTCGCCTCTTTACAGAATGTCTATTCGGGAGGTCCTCCAGGACAAGGTCCACGGACCTTATTTCAGGCCCCCCCCCGCTTAAGATCCGTGTCTTGGCGGCCAGGGAACAGACGCAAGTCCTGTCCTGGGAGTTTGGAGAGACGACCGCCACCCCAAAAGCGGTCAAACTCAACAAAGTGTTGGCCATCAGTGATGGCCAACACTTTGTTAAGGTGACCCTTTTCGAGGAATTTTCCTCCAAAATCAAAGCAGACGGCTCATACCTGATGAGGGGTCCCTATGCTCTGCTCATTACGAGGGACACACAATTTCTCCGAACCTCTCCTGTGGCGGTCTCTGAAGAGCTGGCTGGTGAGGCCCTGTCGGCCCTCTTCCCCCCATCAAGCCTGACCAATATTGGGCAGGTCAGGGGGAAGAGGGGACTGGTGACGGTCGAGGGCCAGGCGGTTGAGGTAATTACATTTAAATGTCCATATTTCTATTTATGAAGGCATTTTAAAGTAGATGCAAGACAATTAAGTACATATCAGAGAAAACCTTCCTAAATCAGCTGTAATATCAGGAATCGCCTTTCATGACACAGCTGAGCTTCTATGTGCTTCATTCAAGGAACAGAAAGAGGTCGTTTGCCATGTTCATTTTTTGTTTTTTACATGTCTTTAATTGTTCTTTTTAGATCTCTGCTGTTAAAAAGATTTTGGTGGGGAGGGAGCAGGTCCCCAAAATGATTGTGCGCCTTCAGGAGGTAAAGAGAGCTACTGGGATTGATTTCTTACCACTACTGTGTCATATGTCTGACCAGAACTCTTTCTGTCAACAGGGTGACCACCAACTAGAGGTGGCGCTGTGGAGGGAGGCAGCCGTCCACAAGGTGGAGCTGGGGGCTTTGGGAGCGCAGCCTTTGTGGAGCAGCTGCAGTCCACAGTGTTCACTGCGGTTGAGGTAAGCAAAGCTGAATGTTTAGCTTTGCTGCAATATGTTACAGACATGCTGATTTTGTATTTTCTTTACAGATCCAGGCAAATGTTGTTAAACAGCTGAGTTCTGTGGAGGTCCTGGGCGTCGTTGAAAGTGAGGAAGAGGGACGGCTCTACCTCGTTCTGGAGGACGACGTCCAATACAAAGTTGAGTCGTCCCTCTGGGAGCCTCATGAAGAAGAACTCAGGAAGAGGAGGCTCTTTGTCGGCGTCAGTGTTGTCGGGGGTGTCATCACCACAATAAAGGTGGTGGAGGCCCCCCAGGATTCTTAGTGTTTTTGATTTAATAAATTGTAAAAAAATTTCAACATTTGTCCCTGATTTTATTTGATATTAAATGTTAACTGTTTATATTTTTATCTCTTTCACATTTCTCTTTAAAAAAATCCAGCCGTTTTTTAAAACAAGGCAGTTTCATTCAAATCATTGAACTTTTTTCTTACAAAACAAAAGATAAGATTTTGTATCTTTGGGTGTTTTGTTTTTTATTTCCACACGTACACAAAAGCACAGTAATAACACATGTGATAATGATATTTGCTTCGATTTAGATATTATTCAATTATTAAAATGACGTTCAATCTCAAACGCCTTTTTTTCAGCCAAAGATATGAATTTGTATCTTTGGGTTTTTTTTATTTCCACACGTACACAAAAGCACAGTAATAACACATGTGATGATGATATTTGCCTCGATTTAGATAATATTCAAGTATTAAAATGACGTTCAATCTCGCCTTTTTTTCTGTTCAGGCGTTTCCCTGGCACTCCCAAACAAACAAGTGCTGCTGCGTTGCCCCCTATTGGTTGACCCAGTCACGTGATTCCTCGTTTGTTGCTAGGCTGGGTCAGCGTCAAAAATGTCTGGCAGTTTTAAAATCGTTGAACTTTTCTTACAAAACAAAAGATAAGATTTTGTATCTGTGGGTGTTTTTTATTTCCACACGTACACAAAAGCACAGTAATAATATTAATAATAATAATAATAATACTCGTCATGTATTAAATTGAAGTTCAATCTCAAACGTCTTTTTTTCTTTTTTTATTAAATGTTAAGTGTTAATAGTTTTATCCCTTTCACACAAAAATAAATATTACAATATAACTAAACTAACACGTTATTTATTTGTATTACAACTTGTTTTTCTATTTTATCCTGAAAATTATTAATCAGATGTCAAAGAAAGAATTGTCGGCGTATACCCTAAACGTATTTTGGACCCATTATCGTTTGGATCAATATTTTTAGATTTAAATTTTATCATGTTAATTAGGATTCATATCTCAAATAATTTGTCTTATATTGACGTTGCATTTCAAGTAAGGAGTCGTCATTGAAGTAGAAATCTCCGAGTATGCCCTGAATGTCTCTTGGAAAAATCACAGTCATTGTGCTTCCTTCACTTTGCGAAGGTAAGACGCATCCCTCACTCAGTGTGACATAAACCAAAATATTATGAACTGTCAAGCAAACATTTTTTTCGAAGACTGGTTTTGTAGTTACTGCTCTATGGTTAACATAAAAGCTGACACCGATAAACACACTATGTTCGGAGCCACCGTAATATCTCCTCTTAAGTGTCCGTGGTTAGCATTAGCAGTCACCCTAACACTTTTCGCAAGTGTCTAAAAACAGCTCTTACTGTTCAGTTCGACATGCTTCACGTAGATATCTGCTTGCTGTAAAAACCGTCTTTCGATTTTAATATACGGGGATAATGGACTTTTTAAAATCCGCTGAAATGAACCGTGTGACGTGCCTCTTTTCGGCTAGCCCCGGTTAGCACCGTTAGCCTTAGCATTACTGCTAAAGGCTATTACTGCTGTGTGTCTCTGTGTCACTTTCAGATAAATCTGTCAGCCTTTCATCACTTGTAATGTGTCATGTAGACTTCATGAAACATCATCTAACACTCATAGTCACTAAAACTGGTGAAGTAGCTCTATTTAATGGTGAGGTTGGATCACAAGAGTTTGACTTTGTTACCAATTTGCTTTTAAATTGCTTTCATTTATCAAATAATATTAAGCTGTTTGTAATGGAGACCTTTGAATGTCGGATTTTTATGCATGTAAAGACACAGACAGATAATGAGCAATACTTTGTTTAATGTTCTGGTAGGTTTTGTCTTTGTACCAGATAACTAACAGTCACTGTATCTTTTCTCAGATTTAGAGAAAGTTGTTTCACACCCTGCTTTGGCTGGTAGGTTATTATTATTAATTATTATTATTGTAAACCTAAGATGGCAAAGAATGTAACTGGGGAGTGTATGTGGGAAACATCAGGATTTATTTGTCTCACCACCTGAAACACTGAACAAATCTGTCAAATGCTGCTGATCATCTTTTAGACAATTAAGCTATTTCACATGCAGTTTTAGTCCAACATTTCCTTTTAGGCCGAGAGATTTCAGCCTGTGACTTTTTCTGTGTTCAGAGGCCCTGACACACAGTGTGTGACTGTCCAGCTCCAGGTTGTGTCCTAATTGATTGATTGATGGAATACTTTATTGATCTCACAAGGACAAGTTAATGTAGGCTGTTTCAAAGGTGGACAGATACAGTAGCCAATAGCAGCAGCTCTTCTGCCCGTGATTTTCACGGAGGATGAGCCTTCTCAATGTTTCCCAT